GTAGGTACAGTATATTAATTATAATTCTCTAGAGAGAGAATTCTAACAGCTAGTGACTACAAATATATATAATCCAGAATACTCCTCCTTCCATAGGATTCCCTCCATGACCAGAATTGTTTGGATTCTTCGACAACTTCCAAGAAGATTCTGGATTACACCATTGATCTCATTGCCTGCGCTAGCTAGCGTAGGCTACAGGGATAATTAGGCTTAACAGCCGTTACAATTGTCAGAGATTTGAAAAGCAAAGGAAAGACACATTCAAAAATATAGAGCCCCTTAATCTTCCAGTAATTTTGAGAACAAAAAGAGGAAAAGAAGCATTACTTGAATATTTGAAAACTTCTAGGTGCATAATTTTGCACAAAGGGGATTGATTAGGACAAGAAATAGTGGAAATGAGGATGGAAAAATACTAAGAAGCTATGTAAGTATAAGTAGGATAGGTGGATTATTGTTATATAAATTATCATAGCTAGCTAGCTTAATACAACATGAATAAAATAAAAAGGAGTCCATAGGGTACCTGAACGGGCTAAATGAAAACAAATTCATAAATATAGCAATTATTATTTCAATCTAAAAAGAAGTCTTGGTTAAAATTGTAGACTTATTCTTCGAGACATTTCCTCCTAGAAATGCTTAATAATTTCTATCAGAAAGTCTGAGCCGAGTGCATTCCAAGAGGATGCAGGTCAGTAGATTGCCCCCTTACTTGTGAAGCACAGTCTTGGATATCACTCTCTACACCGGAAAAGTTGCTCTCAAGGCTTATATTAAGCTCTTCATATGCGTCGGTAAAATTATCATATTTGGGCGGTATGAATTGTTCAATGTAATTGCAGTGTTCAGCATGTCGTTAGGACTCTGGCAGGGATCTGACTTAGCTCATTAGCAAGGCGTCTGGAGTAGAGGAAAGGGAGAGACATCGATATATGTCTTTCGAGATACCAGTTGATTGACTTTATTCACCGACTTCATGACAGACAGCTGGCTTCGTGACGGTACCCAATTTGTATTACTTTGTGTTTTACCAACAATTTGAGTTGCATGGATGCTGTGGAATCGATAACTAATTTATATTAGGACAAAGTATTATCTAGATATTAGGATCCACAGATCAGAGGAACAAGTCGACGCAATGCAACCACCGACTCTAAATAAATCCAACCAGATAAACCATTCCGACACTTGTAGCCTGAGCAAAGTGCTCAAGAAAATTGGACCGTGCAAGAATATCTATTCACTGGGACATGATTATATCAACTCAGTCTTTCACTTATCCAAACTACGCAAGCCTACAAGTAACCAATATCCTGCTCAGTTATAAGATGAATATCTCAGAATAATTGTGAGAATATAATAGGATCAATGGAAGCTGGAAGAAATTCTTGCTTTAAAAACGGTTAGAGGATGACATGGACGAAAAATTAGCGGATTGGTACAGAAAATGACCCGAAATATTGGCTGACATCTGACTATATGAACGGTTAAGCAAACGGCCAATTAAAGCAAGCTATACCGTGAAATAATGAATATTCTACTATGGCAGAGGCAACCACGACTGAATTGTACCTACACAAAGTGTTCCCCGAAAATCACCTAAAATAAGCACTCTTATAGGGTTTTGTTCTGTGCCCGAAGCCGAGCTCTTCGTCAAACTCTAATTATATTCAAGGCTGGGCATGTATGTCAGCATAGAAAACTGATAGTGGGTTAACATGTAAGAGACTGCTCGTGTGCACAACGTAAAATTAGAGAAACTTAGTAAAAGAATTTGGCTCAACAGTTAAAGACTTATGATTAAGAGAGAAAAATTTTATGAATCAGAGCTTGCCAGGCCAATTACTTAAAGCTCACGGATACGGCTGCCTGATATTATACAATACGGGGCTGGACTATGTCGATATACCAAAAATAGGGGTAGTCCTAACATGGATTGAGATATGCCATTGCTTAAAGAGATATTGTAGAAAACATTTTTTCTGCTTTTTCTTTCCTCTCGGGCTTTTGATTTTCGTAGCTGTAATCTACTGGACCAAACTACTCGACACATCTCCAATTTTTGGTCGCCTAAAACAGAGCCACAACTTTAGTTTTTTGGTATATTGTGTCGAGGATATCTCTACTGAGAGAAACTAGTATAGTGCCGGCATCTGCCTTGCTAGGTGATCCATAACTTAAGACGGCAGACTGCATTCGCATGCTAGTTCAGAAATATCGGTTGCGTTTCCGAGATATGGAGATTATAGATAACGCCCGTTATCACCTCGGAGTCCGAACATTGATCCGGGCCAGACTAGGTCTGGCCCGGATCCACGATTCCAAGGTTCAAAAGACTTTTTGATTCCGGGTGGAATTAAAGCCATCACTATCTCTTCGACCCTCGATGTTAGTGCAACTTCGGGAATATAGGACAAACAAGAAAGAGGCTGCCGGGGCCACCCAGCAGCGGCCAACCGATCTACCGCTAGACTATCTTCGCGCAAACAAAAACGGAACTTGAGCTTCAACAGCCGAATTATTATAGACTCAAGTGATATTTGATGTTGTATCGAGAGCTAAAATAGAACGGAACGGCTGCGGTAAAATTACAGGCGTGAACGTCTACAATGTAGAGGCTCACGGGGTACTGATCCAAGGCTTCCGACTACATCAATCTCTCACCCCCAACAAGATGAGTTGAGACTAGAATCTCACCAAGTCTAAATTTACGACCTCGCGTATCTTTTGCTTTCCTTGGTCAAGACTTTTATCGGTACCTAATCTGGCACGTAATAAAGACTTTTGCGCACAAGTCATGTGATGGATTGGATTATGTAATTATTGCCTACTGTTTTTGTAAAGAATTACTTGTCATATCTAGCTTGAGGAGCGAGAGAACAATGAGTAAATGGCCCAAAGTGATGTGATATTATTATGATACTACTTGAGTCGTAGACTATCTAGCGTATTAGACTCCACTTTGAACCACGCCACACCTTGTGCGGTACTCTGATTTTCTCTGGTTATGAAATAACTGTCTTGTACAAGGCCCATGATGAATAGCTATTTGGCTCAGTAGTTACCGGTAGAATTCTGCCACCTTATCTAGGGAATCTGAGGTTTTCTCATTGCATAAGGGGTTGTCCCTCACTATCCATGAGAGCAAAATTCAAAGTTAAACATTTGGAAGTTATAAAATGTAGCTAGTGTCTTATTTATAGATTCAAGGAGGGGGACTATTCTCAACACCTGACAGTGGTACCCCTTACGAACTTCCAGCTCTCACTGTAGAGTCTACGAGTCTGCAGAGCCGAGATTGAGTAACAAAGTCCTCACTTCGACGAGGATTCCCAATCGCTTTCGCGGTCTGTATCGTCTTCATCTCTCAACACATTCCCCTATCACCATTATCATGAAGCTAACCACAATCAGATCAGATGGTAGGGTCGGAGCCCTACTCGTCACCAACCCTTAATCATGGAGGAGATGCCATCCGATGAGTTTCTGGAGCGTACCTAGCACCCGATACGGAGATGGCGGATTGGATCAAGACGGCCTCGACTGTTACAAAGAATAGAGACATAGATGAATATGCGCACCTCATGTGGTCCCGGTGTCTGGGCATCGCCTGGCTGGAGCTGCAGGTTTTTGAGACCTATTCCCGCGCACGCAGTTTCCATTGCTACCATTTTTATTTTTTTTGGGTAGAAGGTTCCGTGGAAAAGGTGGCTGAATTCCACGGGTAAATACTGAGCTGAATGGCTATTCATCAAGGGGAATATATCAATGATCCTTCAAGTAACAAAAGAGGATAGGAGCACTGTACAAGGTGTGGCCTGGGTCAGAGAGGAGCCCAATGTGCTGGATAGTCTGTGACTCAAGTAGCACAATAAACGCACACACACATATAGATTCTAGGGGTCTTCAATATTAATTAACTCAGTTAGGACTATGATTCAAATCTAATCTCATTGCATACCATGCGCTACATTATTTGGACTGCAAGAGTGCAGACGACACTTTAGATACGTCCATGGCTGTATAGTGCGATGGTACACCGTTCAGACGGTCTCCCAACTAAGGACTAAACCGCTTGGAAGCTCATCCCATATCAGATAGAAGATCGCTGGCTAGAGTCCACAAAGACAATATCACATTGTACACGAAGCTAGTGCGTGAATGACGGAGGCATATGTGGGTAACGACAGCTCTTGAAACCTGCCTTTGCTGGGTACATGCGGAGAAAGATCGACTGTCAGCGTAAACAAATATACCTTATAGTGGTACTTGCAAATGAAATCCAAAGTCAGAGTATTTCTGGAGTTAGAAATAATCACCCAAGATACTGAGAGGAGCACCGTTTGCGTGTCATGGAGAGATAGCTGCCTACATAATAAATCAATTTTTAAAAAGTCCACTTACGACTACGGGAATGAATTCTAACATTCTAAGATGAGATATGCGATGGGGATGGAAAACCTGCACTTCTAAATTAAGACCACAGCGACTAACCAGGATTATAGACCCACGCACATAATGCCAGTCACTATTTTTGGCCAGAGACATTTCTCCGTTTCAGCCGTAAGACGTCTAATATTAGCATCAGATGGTATACCTCCCGGTAAATAGATATTTCTGGTGGATTGGCAGTGATGACCCACGCATATTTCACAGTAACGAATGGCGGCTGGACGAAATCTTAAAACACAACTCAAAGTAATCTATACATAACACGGTAGTTACATATATCCATCACGTTGCGGGAAAGTCCTGGCAGGCACTTGATTAACGGGTCTCGTGCTAATGCAGGTACAGGCGTGGCAGATGGAGACTCGAGGACACGATTCAATTGTTCAAATTAAATCTGCTCTTCACCGTGAAAGACAGGACTTCTCGTTTGAACATTACGATATTCGTTTCAATCATCACTTGAGAATATCCAAAAGCCGTGATTATTACCATTAACTTCGCCTGCCCAGAAAGCCAACCTCATATCCGCAAGCCCTACATTACTATCTAGAATAATTCACCATTTCCACCCACTCAGGATCACTTGAGTCTGAAACTGCACTTAAACTCCGCTTGTCCTCATCGAGCTCCCTCCGAGCCCTTAATTTTTTACGCAAAATTCGAATAAACCATGGTGGATGAACGCCAGTTTTGTTGACCCAACACTCGGCTTCATCTATGTCTGGAGGCTCAATGCGTCCGCTGGATATTGTCTTTGTGAGGAATATCAATCCATTGAGTATACCGTAGGATAGTAGACCAGCGATAAGCCCATATGCTACAGAGTATGTGAAAGGCATAGCGACAATGGTGATGAATGCTGGAAGAGCATCACCAATGAAAATCCAGTTTACCTCCGTAACCTGTACCATCATCATGCAGCCGACTAGAATGAGCGTGCAGCCCGTCGCCCAAGGTGGAATGGACGCAAATAATGGCGCAAAGAAAATTGATATGAGGAAGCAAATACCAGTCGTCATGGCTGTAAGACCGGTGCGGCCACCCGAGATGATACCCGCACCGGACTCAATGAATGCCGTGACCGGCGAGCAGCCGAAAAACGAGCCCATGGTGATCGCCATGGCGTCAGTGCAGTAAGCGAGCGTCGAGCGCGGAAAATCTCCCGTCAAGGGGTCCACGACTCCCGAGAAGCGCGCCATCGAGTAAAGCGTCGCAGTGGCGTCAATAATGTCGACGGATAGGAAGGTGAAGAGTGCTAGAGTAAAGTGGCTGCCGATAACCCCGACGTTCCAATCCTGAACGCCGAGAGTGTGCTTGATGGGATGAAAGGCGATTACATGTTTGAAAAATTCGTGTAGCTCATCGCCTTCGGGTGTTCGCGGAAAATAGGTAAAGGAAGTATCACGACTGTCATATATTAGCCTAGACCAAGTCTAATGGTGTGGAATCGATTACGGCCATGATAGTACTGAAACGGCGACGATCCCGATTATCATGGCTGACTTGACCTTGTACGACATCAGAAAGGCGGTCAGGAAGCCACCGAATATGATGCCGATCCATAACTGTCAACTAGATTAGCGAGGCTTAGTGGTGCAGTGGTGTGGTCTCATACCGTAGGGCTCATCATTTTGTGACTCTCGCATCGGCCGTGACTATCCATAAACTTGGGAAGACAGCCAGCAAGATCAGTTGGGGAGACATCGGAACCAGTTATCAGCCCAATTCCTGAGTATGACATGCCAATCTCGGTGAGAAATAATCCGATTCCGACTCCACAGGCGACTTTAATTGAGGAGGGAATGAGCTTCACGAGCCACTGTCGTATTCCCATCAATGAAAGCCCCATGAAAATAAAACCTTCGACAAACACTGCACTAAGTGCAAGTTGATAGGATACATTTCCGCTACCATGGTATCCAACTACTTGGTAGGTAAAGTAAGCATTTAAGCCCATGCCAGGTCTATAACCAACAGTTAGCTCAAACTGGATAGGCTAACAAAACATTGGACTTTACGCAAGGGCAATTGGGAGGTTTGTGAGGAATCCGAATATGAAAGAGCCTATTCCAGCGACTGCTGCCGTAGCAGTGATGAGATCTCTCTTGACATCTAACGTTATCAGTCCCGAATTTTTTCGATTTACTAGGGTGATGTTTACCCCTTAGACAGGCACTGTACTCAACACTGCGCTCACAGTAGATATCATCTTTTGTAGGAGTACAGACACAAGTTGCTCCACTCTCAGCTAGGATAGAAGACTATTGTGTTAGTCTGGAATTATCGTGTTCCGATTGACTTTACATTGACAGCAATTATGTAGGCCATGGTGAAAAATGTAGTCATGCCAGCGCGTATTTCCTGGGAAAAGTATGACTTTTTGCATTCTTTATCCTTGGCCAGGTCAGTGCTAGATTTATCAGACTCCTCCGAAAACCTACATGTCCAGAACCCTCGAGTCGAAATACCCTACCAAAAGTACTCTTTGCGATTTGGTAATTGAGAGAAGATATCGCATCGTTGATTGTGGCCATATTAGTAGGGACAAATTGGATTCACATGGAGAAAACGTGGGGTGAATAGGTAGTTATACGGAGATTCACAGTTAATTAGCTTCTCTGGCTCAGCCCGTTTGCGTTGTTTGCTCCGGAGAGAATAAAGGTAGTTTTTGCAACTATTTAGCCTTTTGATTTATTGCATGACGAGCCTCTGCTCTGTCCAAACTAATGCCGTGCGAGGCACAGGCCCGACGGCTCTCTGCTCAAGCCAATAGAGGACCCTAAGAAACCTTCGTCAGTCTGCATCGAACCAGCGAGGCAGCTTGTTGATCAACATCTGGCACAGCATCTAGAGCAAGCTGCGTGCTGGTGGACCAATCATAGTTGGGTTCACGGAAGTTTCTGTGGATCGCGAGTTGGCGGCTGTTGACAGCCGAGGCGCTCGCTTCACTTGCAAGGTCACACGAGTTGCACCTTCCGAGGACCTTGTTTAGCCGACCGGGAAAAGCTTTGTAAATCTATACATGGGAGACGAGGTATTGGGGACCATCCTATTTCGTCATATTTCTAGTATTATTCCTACACTTCAAACGTGGTGATTAGGCTGGCAAACAAGCATTTTCTGTCAAGTAATTGATTAGCCAATTGCCCATTGTGGTATGTAAACATGAGCTAGGGGGTTTGAAGCGGAAGCTTGCATTATCTGTGTCGGTGACCAAAACTATCTGTCGTGGTCCTCATAGCCCTTGCCTGGACCTAAGTGACCGAGAAGGATTCTAGCACTAGGCATCAGGGCCCTCTACTGTCACATTGAGGCGGAAAGTTAGAGGTAAAATTTCAAAATATCGCGATGCAGAGGAAGCTGGCGTAGAAATGCACGGAAATTTATCGGCAATTAGAATACAACGCAGGAGTATCAGAGGCATGCGACGGGAGAGCGCGTGACCATAGATTGCACCTGCAAGGCAACGGACACCAAGATTATAATTGCGTGTAGATAGAGGTAATTTTGTCATTTGTAGTTTGTTAGAATACATATCTGAGAATAATTCGTGCATTCTCACAAGTGACGGACGACCATGTTGGACTGGGTGAGCATTTGCGCTAGCACTATCCCTGTTCGTTGACCACAAGAGCACTCCATCGTATTGGTTATAAGCCATCAACTGTCTATGATAGCTCTCATCCCACGCCCGGTCGTCTATCGAGACAGACCAATCATCCATCATTTCTCCATCGTAATCGCGTAAATCAATTCAAAGTAATCATCCCATGTTCCCAATCTCGATCCGATCCGAAAGAACGTCCAAGTAACTTGAGCCAAAGTACTACCACCTTCAAATACACGGTGTACACTTCCATTCCTGGTTTGAAGATGCGCGTCATTCGCTTTAGCACGAGCATCATGTCAAGTTGCATAGAGCTCCTCTTCCAGCTCGATATCCTGTGTGTTGGATTGAAATTTTCAAAGACCCCTACTGCTCGCACGGCGGCTTGCACAGGTGTTACTCGTCAGATGCAGCAGTGTATCGAGCAAAAGTTTCCAATGAAAAGCTAGGGGAGCCTTTGAAATCCATCCTTTTGCATGGAGGCTTATCTTCTCGTTACTTCATTACTCTGGCTTGCGACCGGCAATATCTATTCCTCCCTAGACTTGTATATTATTTAATGAAAGCAACTATAAGCACTCTGTGACAATCTTCGGTTTCCCAATAGTGATTTGGATTTACTATGTGGGACGTTGCATGGACGGATCCCGACAGGGAGACAGTTAGACAGAGAAGGTTCCGCAAAGATCCAAAAGCTCCATCTTCCAGGCATCTAGGATATCTTTCTCGTCGAACATCGATTTTAGGATTCAACTCAAGAGACCGTCATCACGCTAAGCCATCCTTCTTTGGTCTTTTTATCGGCGGCGGGTTTTCAAATAGGAGGAGGAAAAAGTCCGATCTCAAGGAGAGCTCTGTTTCTAAACTGAGCCCCGTGAACCCGAATCAAAGATGTAAAGAAGCTTCTCAATGGGCGAATGATTTGCGTGAGAACCCTCCAGGAAGCCCAATAGGGCCGCCAGAATCATCAAATACGGCGCCGTCCGACCAGTGTTCAGTGGATGCTCAAACTGATGTGCACTATTATTCCGACACGGAACGAAATTCAGACCGTATGATCACGGAAATAATTGCCGACAAATTTTACCACAAAAGCTAATGTCCAAATAGTTGCCGAGTCTATCTTTTCCGAGCGGACAGGTAGATCAGCAAAGACACATTCAACTTGGAGTGCTGGAGCTGACCCCAACTGCCCTCAAAAAGGCCACCCGAATCTGGGTCTGGCGCCAGTCACCCTGAGAAATCACCGAAATATCGCTGGCAAAGAGAAAAGGGTTGAAAAAGTCTGCTCAAGCGAGAAACCTTCCGAGTCCACCGAAACAGTAAACCAAGTGTATTATAAACTTGAACCTTTACTCACCATTCATCGCTAAAATTTTGTATAGTTCTTCACCAATAAAGACCATCTCCTTCACGTGCAACAATACCGATTCGCATGAAGAAGTATCGAAAACTCTAGAAAAGCAAGAATTATCAAAGATCAAGCTGTAAGCTATCACTCACCTGGATATATTGAGCTTTATCTCTAACAAATCAAAGGCCTCAAAGGTCTCATAGAAGAGTGACAGAGGGTTGGAAACCACCTGATGCATGGGCATGTTTATCAGACGAAGAATTCAAAGCGCTTAAAACAAAAAGTCTCGCCCGGCCTGCCAAGAATCATACTAATCAGCCACCTTCTAAACAAGCCCCGTCCACAGTCTTTGAATTGTCCTACTTACAACGCAGTATCCGGAGAATGGAGGCTGCAAGCCCAAAAATAGTGCTTGAAAGGCTCAAGGAGGAATGGAATGAGATTGCAGACGCCTCAGTGTATCGAGAGTTGGAACTAGAAAGACAGCTATGGATGCTCACAGCCTTACGAGGCCTTAGGAAACCAGTTAGACAAGATCATTTTGATACTGGCTTTCTCGGCGCTCAGAAGGTTCTATCTCTTTATGAAAATCATGGTGTGCCGACCACAGTAAACTTTGGAGTAAGACTAACCAAATTTCGTAGCTTCGGCCTCTACTCTCTCAGCCATTACTACTGCGATAGAAGTATATCATTATTCTACAATGCCACTATCGCCCAAAAATTACCCTAATGTACATCCGCATGTGGTTGACAACTCGATCTCTCGACTCCCATTTCCATCCAATAAATTTACATCTATTTCGGCATTTTCGATGACTTCATACCTTCCTGCGTCTTCAATACCTGCGATTCTGAAAGAATGTCATCGCATCCTGGTATCTTCAACTCGCCCCTCTTCGCCAACTTTACCGGCCGGAGATGATGCCGAGATAGGAACAGAGAAGCCCCAACTCACACGTGGGGGAAGTTTACATCTCACCGTACTCGACCCTGCGCCAATTCCTGCGACAGCCGGACCGCGCTTGAAAACTTGGCTGGATACTCACCTTATCTTAAATCTTGAAAGACAATTCCGCTGTATTCATCCCAGTCGGCTCTTCCCAGTTTGGCTCGCGGATGCGGGACTTCATGCTGAAGAATCAGCCATTGCTTACACTCGTTTTTTTGCCTCCGTCACACCCTCTATTCCTACCCCACACTTGCCTATGGAGGATTCGAAAACACCGCAAGACGAGGAAGAGCCACTAGATGAAATCAAGCTTGAGTTGAAGTGTATCGTTGGACGTATGCTTTGGAAGGAGATATGGGGTGGATTTGTACAGGCTCAGAAGTGGTGGTGGGAAGAGGAAGAGATATTGGAGGAGTGTGAAAGGCTGGGAACGTGTTGGGAGTATGCGGTAATTGAAGCTGTGAAGGAAGACTAGCTTTGCGAGTAAGCTGGTAAGTAAAAAAATATTTTGAGGATTGATGTCACTTAGATCAAATCTTTAACTTTATCCATAGTTTTCTAGTTATGAACTTGATTTTGGCGCTCAAGGTAACCCAAACATTCGCATAATTATTGACATTATTGGCACCGAGTGCAAAACAATCCTTTACTAGACTTGGTCTATTCAGCTGGGGGGTCATGTGTACGAGAGATTCGTAAGTGATGTTTTAGTTTTGAATTGGATTATGATATATGGGGCAATTGAAGTATAGTAGCATGCTGGTAGTACTTAGTCAAGCTGGGACCCGCTTTGATCTATCTTAAGGGAAAGTAATGATTTGAGCCATATGAGATCTCTACCAAGCGAACCTCATCATTTTGCCCTGCGCTTTGCAATCCTAGATTTCGCAACATCTCTTCGACATCCCCTTCTAGTCCTAAAAGACTTCACAGAGAGATGCTTGTGCCTTGTTCTTCATCCCCACACCACGTGCGCCTGGCATTAATGTTTCTAGTTAGAGAGTCATACAGGCTACCTACAATTATCTAGGATCGCTTGGCGGTCGATCTCTAGGTCTTACGATAAGAAATTTTGTTGAAATTTGTTTATTGGATGGGTATCCCATATTATACATGGGAAGCTAAGCCCGCAATCGGAACATTAAGCACAGAAGAATGAGACAAATTTTACCTCTTGCTTTGCCTGCCTTGAAGACTACCAGAGGTTAGAGAGGTGAGTAGCTGATTAGAGTCGGACGGCCGAGCTACGTATAATCCAGCAATACGGTTCGTAAGACGGTAAGCACAAATTGTACTAGCCAGCGCATTCTAAATCGTTCTATCCAGCATTGATCCCATCTTAAATGCGTTACAAAATTTAGAGAGTGCTCTGGATGAAGATAAACTATACGTCTTTCAGTGATGGAGTGTTGACCAAGATTTACAAGCCAAGTGACAGATCCCATAAAGCACATGATCATGCCGCTAGAACACGCATGACGGGAACAAGTGCCAACCACAACTTCATTTGATTTAACATCATCATCAAAATCATGCTCTGTTACCCAGTTTCTTGGCCAAGGGGAGATCGTTAACAATAACTGTGAAAAGCAGCTATCCCAGTGTCACTACAGTCAACAAACCTCTATACCGGCCCCGAGGGAAACATATTACAAGAGGCACGACACACTGCGTTCTGCAGTGACACGGGAAGAATGAAAGTTCTATCAATTTACTCGATAAAATTCTGAGTGATAGCTCTTGCAACTGACCAGGAGGAATCTGATAGATCAAGAAAGATAAAAATGAAATCTTATTTCTGATCTAATCCGGTGGCCAGCTGATCACACGACATACAATTCTTTAAATGGGCTCTCTTTATCATCGGATAATATGCAGTGCAATGATTGACAGATAAGAGTTGTGTAAAGATAAGGTGGAGAGGAAAGCCGAAAGAAATATCCACTCCAGGGCTGACAAATACTTCAAGGCTTCTCAACAAAGAAAACACGTCTATCTCCAATATCGAGGTACTGCATCTTAATATGACCATCTTGCCTCGTTTCAGCGGATAATTCGAGTAGAGAAGATCAATATCTTGGTATGATAAAGTATGGTAGTACAAAACTATGCGCAATGATAGGCCAGAAGCCGTGTTGAATCTCCATATACTGTTCCTCCGACTCTCGAAAATGCAAGGAATCCGCTTGATCTCACGTAACATCCACTACAATATCCGAGGCGAATATGTAACAATCGCACTTAATCTAGTTATCAATCAATTTTCACTGGCAACTCCGACGACTTCGCAGAGGCTAGTCAAAATCTCAGCAAAGTGCCTTTGGTAACTGTAAGATTAACACATTCTGACATCCCATCTACTCATGAACTCTAATAATATTATCTTCGAAATGGGATTTGAATATTATTGATCAAGATTGCTTGATTATAGAGACAAGTTTATGCAGAGTAAGTTGTCGGCCCATCAAATATAGATGCTCGCCAATACCTTGGATTAAACTCCCGTTATTTTGAAAATCTGGTGCAGGTGAAAAACACAATTATGAAAGCTGTATACCAGCTAGCTCAATCGGAGAAAGAATATCTCTTACGTCAATCCAAATTGGAGATGTTGTTTGCATTATGATTGCCTACTATAAACCTGTGTCTGTATGAAATATGTATATCTCATCTACCTCCATATTAACTCACTTTCAACAGTACTGCCCATCACAGCTCTTCCTTTGTTAATGCATTTAGAGGACTCTACTTTCATTATCTCTCCCCTGTAGCTAACAAGCCAATGGCAATGAGCAAGTGTATCATGGTGGGAAAATCCTTAAAAGTCCATAGGTGCTGAGGTATCTCTAAACCGACACCGGGACTGAGTCGAAAATATGGCTACCCATGTCAAGTCTTCCGAGAGTCTGTCTAGCCAAACAACCTAGGCTTTTTGCACGGAAGAGATTCAAATTCTATCCTGCTAGACTCTTTTTGATACTATTCATCATTCGCGTCACAAGAAAAATCAGAGGCTGTATTGGGATGTCAGAAAGCTATTTAAAGAGGGCTTTTACCATAAGTAAGCTATCCTACTTGCTAGCAGTATCCAGGGTGATAGCTGGAGGATCCAATATAACAGCGCTGATGGTTTCTGAATCTTATTCCCATACGCTTTGAGAGTAAATAGGGCTGGGTTCCAACTTCTCTTTGTCATGTAACTAAATTTTTCCAAGTCCTCGAGAGCTTTCCATAGTTCCTCGTCGCACAGCTTTACAACTACTGGTCCCCGACTTTTTGTAGGCATTACGTGGAGATGCCTCGGCTGTGTCAAATGTATCATTATAGAAATTTGCAACGTTGGAGGAAGAGAGCCCTGTCAGTGTAAAGCTTTGATAGAAGTAGCTCGAAATTTTGGGGCCGGGAGTCTGGGTTGTAAAGTAACATGACTGCATTACAATAAACTCTTCACATTAGAATAGTGTGCACATGCGCCATGAGATGATTGATCTATATCATCACTTATAGGTATAACTTAGTATTTCCTAACAGATTCAGATAAGCATCCATTGGCTGTAGGATCTCTAATATACTCCCATCCTTGATAACTTTGAGAAATAGATTGAAACATGCACTGGTGTACATAACACTCGACATGTATTTGTATAGAGGAAATTCTTGTCATGTTGACAGTGTATGCACTTCATTGTAGGAACTTTACAAGGTCTTCAAATTATTCACACATTTGAGAGTGTTCGGGAATACACTCATGCTTGCTTATAAACCAAATTTCTTAGAGTGGACCCCACAAACTTTAAGTTTCTCAAAGACATAGCAACACCTTTCCATGGTCTGGATATATAAGGCCGACTAGACTCAGATATCTGCATATCAAATTCCTATCCTCTCGCTTCCTTTCAAAGCTTTTAGCTCTTCTCTAGTGTGAAATCTCCTGTGCCTCTCGCATCACTTTGAATGCATTTTTACTCGACGTCGTATCGGCGGTGCCGGCGCAACCAGCCTAGCTCAAGTGAGACGGATCCACTGCCCAGAATCTTGCGAATGTTTATATTCCAGGGGGAATGACTGCCAAGGCCAAACTTCGAGGTGGTGCGCTCCTATTCGGCAATCTCTCAACGCTCCCACGACCCAGCGTCTCTACCGTTTCTCCTCGCGGCCTTTATCTTCAGACATCCATGTCCGCAAACTGTGCTCGTAGTATATGCTGAATCCGAGTTCTCCCTAACGGCGCCTCTTGCCATGTTCTTCATTTTGGTGGTGTAGCGTTCAGTGTGTTGGATAGCAGGGCCAGTTTTTAGGATAATGTCTATATACACGGAGCCGGTTTTGTAGAGGGGGCAGGAGTCACAACTAGTCATTTCGACTTCGCAAAGTTTCTGTCCTACATAATTGTAAACTCAAATAGGACATAAATGGATAAAATATATATATATATACTTCGGAAAGCGTAAAGGTAGATTTTAGTCAACGTATCGCAGGAATTAAATGGTGCTCAAGTAGTCTTGCGCCCGTCTTGACTGGTGGTCTGGCGTTCCTTTTTGATTCAAATGTTGCCAAAATCCCAGTAGTGTAGCACTACGGCCAAAAATCAAGCGAGCCTGCTTCCCTCCCACACTTCAGCAAGGTGGAAATTCATTCACCTCGACTTCACATTGTATCAAGCATAAATGATGTGATTTGAGTAGGCTTAACATCGGGTTGTGAATCCCGAGGATTCGGATCAAAGTAACGGCGGGTCCGATTCGGACTAATTGTTCCACAGACCACCCACGGTAAGTATTTTAATGTCGTACATAACAGCATTAGGAGGAGGACGAGATTCGTGCAATAGATCATAGTAGACTTTTGTTAATAAATGCTCATGTCCAATGATTAGCCAGTGATATCGGTATTCGAGGCCCACAGAGGCAGTGCATACTTTGTAATGTGAGTCACGAGATACGCTATGCTCTAACGCACCTCGAAGCACCCGGAATCCATAGGGCTCGATTGACTGAAGTAGAATAGAGGAAAAGCTCTTACTGAGTCTTTTTCCATTAAGGACTACTAAAAGCTGTCTAAGAGCTATAAATTATTTACTTACGTCTTCTTTATTTTCAACATTTTCCAATTGGCACTGGTGATCTAGTCCTATCGACTGCTGCAATATCTCATCCGAGCTATCTTCAAAAGGAGATATCGGCAGGCAGCTGGCAAAGACGAATTCTCCACCTTCTAGTGGTGCTCGTGTAATCGATCAGTATAATCTGCATATCTGGGATAGATAAGAAGAAAGATACCCGAATTGAAGTTGAAGGCAACCTCAGGCACATCTCAATTTGACGACTTCTTAATAATGCCGCTCTTAGCATTCTAAACTGAGTCCTCAGCCTCTTTCTAATCACACATCATCTCGCCTGAACGACCGATAAAGGAGTTGCTCTAATTGCAAACGAGAGCTTGCACCATTACTGCAAATCTCAGCTAGCCGGCCTC